GCCCGGCCCACCTCATCCTCCTTGACTTTATCATTCTAATTATACTTGGAGAAGAGTACAAATTATGAAGCTCCTCATTGTGAAGTTTTCTCCAACCTCCTGTCACTTCATCTCTCTTTGGTCCAAATATTCTCCCCAACACCCTACAAAGCGAAAAATCGCTGGTTCCATTCCCAACGAGGTCACTGGATTTTTCAATTGACCTAATCCTTCCAGCGGCACTATGACTCTGGGGTCGACTGAGCCTCTAACAGAAATGAGTGCCAGAAATCTTCCTGGGGGTAAAGGTCGGACAGCGCGTAAGGTTGGCAACCTCAGCCGATTGTCTAGAAAATTTGGGAGCCTCGACGTCTCACAACCCTATGGGTCTCCAGGGCCTGTTACAGGGATAGCCTTACAAAGCCTCTATAATACAGAAACTCCAGCAGAACTTTAAACGAGACATACAAACAGAATGTAACTACACAGAATTTCACTTACTCAGAGGAACATGAAGGCAGCACTCCGCAGTTCTGTTCCACTCCATTTCATGCTGCACACCTGCAAAACATAGTCCTCGTTACTTCACTGTTCAAACAAAACGCCAGGGCCAGGGCATTCATCCATCATGACTCATTATAGCACTATGTCACACTCGGAACAGGGCTGCCAGCCGAAAACGGAATTTCCAATGACTAAGTAACTAATTAACTGCATGGAACAAAGACCACCTTGAGAAGGCAGTAATCGCTCGGCTGAACAAGAAATGTCCTGCCTTTTATGGGCCTCGAATATCCATTATCATTCATTCATCAGTAATCTGTCAGACGACAGGTCCATAGTCTCTTCCAAAACAGTTCCTCCACTTAATGCGATCTTCTGTTTTTGGAAAGAGACTATCCAGGAAAAGTGATAATGTGGTAGTTTTTCCATTTGCTTTCCACATCGCAGTACAACAGCCGTTCAAACCACTCTGGTCACGCCTGTTGCTATACGAACTTGAACCATCTCGAGCATCATTTGCTCTGTGCTTCAAGTCGCTGCTGATGACGCTGCTTCCGGCATCAGTTTTTGGTTTTTGGTGTCTCTTTTCGTCTGATGCCTACCCTTTGACCTGTCCAGCAAGGGAGGCCCTGCCAGCAGCTACGCTACCGCTGGTATAGCTCTCAGGGTCCTTGGCATACTCAAACAGCCTCACCACGATAAGGTGGAGACACCAACGAGGGGGATCGATTATCATGTCCATAATAATCCGATACTGGACACTACTATAAACCAGCTGAAACCAGTCTACACCCTCGCAACCTTTATACCAAGGGTGGCCGAACTTATTCTATAACGGAGCCCAATATGAAGTCACAAAGAGACACTGACCGGATAGCACGTGGTTTCCAAAGAGCACAGTAAAAAAAAGAAAGGGTATAGCTATCCCTGTATCAGGCCATGAAGGCCCAAAGGGCTGTGAGACGCTGAGGGTGCCACATTTTCTAGACAATCGGCTCACAGATGACGGTAAGGTTGTCAGCCTTACGCACCGGCCGCCCTTTACCCCCTAGAAAGATTCCTGGTACTCATTTCTGTTAGAGGCTGAGTCAACCCCAGGGTCATAGCGTGGCTGGAAGGATTAGGTAAATTGAAAAACAAACCTAATCGGGACTCGAACCCGCGACCTTCCGGCCTGTAGCATAGTGCCTCAACCAACAACGCCATACCACGTGCCCAATCAACGCAACACAGTTCCTATATTTAATCCATTCGTAAAAGACACGCCGACATACCTTCTCCGAGAGCCGCACTAAAAGCTCAAAAGGGCCGCAGGCGAGCCACAGTTTGGCCACGTCTACTACGGAGACAAGTCTGCGCATGACTGATCTTCATATTATCCTAATATCTATGTCTCGGTATCCAGGCTCTCTTTCCTTCGGGCATTACGACTGAATGCTTATAAACATGTCACATCTCCGATACGTGACGCATTATCTTCCCACATTATTATTATTATTATTATTATTATTATTATTATTATTATATGTCGCCAGAAATCCAGAATAGTAAAGTCAGAATAGATGTTCATTACTACGCAAGGATTCGGTAAACACATTCCCGCTGCAACAATCGAGTAACTTCCGTTGCTATTCAACGGCGCTGTAAACAAGCATTCCCAACAACAGAGACTATGTTTTCTGTGCTGTCCGTGCAAAGAGGTTATAAACAAGAGTTCAGTTGAGAAGAGTCAGTCCAGTTTCGAGACGCCAACCTGCCGGGATATGAGTTTTGGAGAAGACGAACTGAATTGAGTTGGCAGTTGCAGAATAATGTCAAGAAAGGAATTAGACTGTGAAAAGAAGAATTCATGTGTGATTTGAAATGGCAGACGGTTATACTACCACAGTCAATAAGTTCGTGGAATGGCCGCAGCGTCGTACGGGAATTTCCTGCCAATATGTTTCAGCAATGTTTTCGACAGCTATAACAACGTTGGCAAACTTGCATAGAGGCCAACGGCAACTATTTTGAGGGCCGATGTGGATCTCCGTGAGTGTATGTGAATACCTCGTAATAGGATTCGATAAAACCGCATTCCACGAACTTAATGAATCTATCACGTAGATCCGTTGCCAGGATACGACTAGTGAAGACTGAGAACCCCAGTGCGTGTGTAACGGCAAAATGTAAACTGTGTAAATCAGCGATAGCGCTGTAATTGCCTGTAGTCCCGAGCTGTGTGTACATGGTGTCAATAAATCCAATCATCCAATCCAAAATCCGTCTTATAAGTCCCCCTCCCCATATGACATTATATATAAGCATAATTCTGGGCCATATAACAGAGATTGAATGCATTGATTAGATATTTATGACAAATCTCCAATTTAGGCTCGGGTCTCTGCCCTCTGCTTCATCTGTTTCTACAAATTACGCAAATTTATTTATTTACTTATGATTTACCCAACAACGTTAGCATAACTCAGACTGTACAGCGTCGAAAGTAAGATTAGCTAACAATGCGTTTTAGAATATGTGGAAAGGAGGAAACTAACTTCTTGAAACTGAGTCCTTCTTGAGAAGCCGTCAATTGTGCGGACACTCAAGAAGTTTTGGGCATTTTATGCAACCCGAAAGTTTATTACCGTGTTCACAAAAGCCCACCACTGGTCGCTATCCTGAGCCAGATCGATCCAGTACATACATCTCTCTAAGATCCATTTTAATATTATCCAACCACCTTGGTTTTGGTCTTCCTAGTGGTCTCTTTCCATCTGGCTTTCTGATCAATATCCTATATGCATTCTGGAAAGAAGGAATCGTGACGTAATCCAAAGTACTATCCCGGTATTTACTTGAAGGGCCTCAGAAAACCCCCTGTCATGACAGCCAGTCTCTGGGCCGAAGTCTGAAAACGGAAACTCACGATTACGAAACATTAACGCGACAGAGTGTGGGTGGTCGTGAGAATATTACAGCTGGTAGCCGCGGCCGTCTTAAAATTTGCTTGGAGCGGTTGAACAGGAAGAATCTCGCCCCAACGCCGGACGGCTGATCCATCTCTGGGGAAATCTATGCTAGAATATCACGAGACAGATATGTCAAGTGTCAGGGCTTACCTTCATAAACGAGGTTACAAAGGCAGTAAACTCTTCAGGGGACGCACAGAAACTTAATGTCATAATGCAGCTTCTTACTCTGCTATTTAGTCTTGGCAACGACATTACTGAGTCTCATGCACAAGTATCTTAATCAGGGCTGTAGTCGAACTAGCTATCCTGGCTCCATCTTCAGTAAACTGGCCATCACAATTATGTGAAGTGGACTGGGAAGTGGAGGTATAGTTCGAACATTCTTGACCTCAGGAATAGATAATGGTAATTGTCAGCTTCACGCCCCATCCGATTTACCCCCGGGGAAATAGTCACCGGTACCAATTTCATAAAGGCTGGGTGCGCCCCCGAATCGAAACGTGGTCATCCTAGCCTTCAGCCTGTCGCTACACCGACTCCCTAAATTTATACCAATTAAACCAAATTAAACTCCATTTTCAACGTAATTTTAGTGTAAAATATAATGCCGATTTTCCATCTGAGGTTCTCAGAACGGTGGCATATAGACCCATCATTAGGCAAAGACCCCGAAATAAACGAGACGACAACAGCTTCGTAAATACCCAACAGTACTGTAGCCGTTGCTAGGCAGCGGCCCGAACGCATTAATAGAAGTACTGATGGAAGCGGTGTTTTCTGTGGATCCGCTCCGAGGCTATATCACTCAACCGATCGAGTTAGTTTAGTTAGTGCAGTGGAGTGGAGTGAGTGAGTGAGTGATCGGAAAGTAAGCCAAGCAAACAACTAAAAAGCAGCATAACTGTTTGCTTGTGTGTTACACTCTGATCATGGAGGCAGTATGTCCTTCCGAAACGTCGCTAAACTTCTACCACTCTACACGGCGTTACGACCCATGCTGTAGAGTTTAACCGAAATCGATAAAGCATTTTGGGTCATGTTACATGATAGCAGATGAGTATGACAAAATTAATAGACTGTTCTAGATTTTCTTTTACGAAACACAACTATGAAGCGACTAGAAGCAAGAGAGAAAAAGAGATAAATAAAATAAATAAAGTAGGATATAAAGTGTGATATCTTCCTCTAGTACGCCTCGTTATAAAACAACGAAGCTTAAATCTCCCTTGTATTTGCACTGATCCAGTATCATACTGAAACTCGTTCGCTTCCTTTCCTTCCATCCACCTGTCCGCAAGAAAGCCTCGAGGGAATGGAGGCAGATTCCCTTGCAATTCAAACAATCCATCTCCCTGGTGAAGTACAACCTGGTTGCATGCAGCCCCATGTTCGCCTCATCACCATTTAATTCCAAAAACCCTAGACTCCAGCATCCGCGAATTACACTCACAAATCTACATTCCAGGCTGAAGCTTCTCCAGGCTGGAGCTGTTCTCATTACTACTAACGGAGAACTACGTGAACAGCTTCAAAAAAAGGAAATTATCTAGCAGTACTTCTATCTGGGGATACCCTGTTCGTAACTCGGCCGACTTACTGCACTCTTCGAGCAAGTTTTACGCCGTTTTCTTTGGTTCTCCAAATCAAATGCAGTACAACTAACTCGCTCCTATTTACACAACCGCTCATCACTAATCTATCCTCAGGAAAATAAATTCAATTTATCTTCCTCCAACGTATTTATTTAGAGCCGGGATACAGCAGTCGGTACAGCGAGTTCCAGTAGGGGTAAGACTTTTCTCTTCTCCACGTCGTTCAGACAGACTCCAGGGACCATCCAGCCTCCTATACAGTGGTTAGCAGGGTCCCTTTCCCTGGCGGTAAAGCAGCCGGGGCGTGAAGCTGACCACTCACTTCCAACTAGTGTTGAGGTCAAGAATACGTGGATCTATACATCCACTCCCCCATACACCTTCATAGCGTAGTATTTAATTAATTAACCATTGGGACAACTTGACTTTTACATATTTCAGAGTCATTCCACCACCATTATCCAATCTGCACGGCGGTAAAGTAAAAAAGTAAAGCTATCCTTGTAAAAGG